TTGAAATTTAATGATAAAATATTGTAATACAACAGTAACTGTGCAATCATTTTTACTGTATCAGTTTTAGTATACTACATTCTGTGCATATCAGCTTATACTGCCATATGTGGATTAATAGAATAAAAAAATCAAATAATAAATTAGATAAAAAAAAACTCACTGATCTCCTGTTCTCAGATGAACCAACGCATGATTCTGTAATTTCTTTGTAGTAAAGTTGTTGCTCCTAAATAAAGATAACAACAAAAACTTTGAAAACAACATTTAAAATGATGGATTAGAGACAGTAGGTTCTTATTATTAATTTTTCCTAGTTCTCAAACTCGTAAGTCTTCCTATCTTCAAGCCTCAGCCTCTAAGGCTTTCACTACTCACAGGTCCCACGTCTTAGGAGTCCCAATTCGCGGGAGTCTCACGGTAATTGGGACGGTCTCCTGCACTCCTGCAAGAATCTCCCGGAAAATAACCCATATCCGCAAATTCATAATATTTGCATGTTTTTAATGTTTTTTTGTCTCACGGTAATCAGTGTCGAAAAGAGATATTATGTGCAGCAAATGTTAAGAAAGCTCATTTAAACCTGATCTCCCAGAAGGAACTTCTTTCAACATGGAAACCTTGTGCCTTCAATTCCTAGGCCTCCACCTCTCAAGGCCTTCCTTTCATAGGCTTTAAACACTCCATCATAATCTAACCAGCCTTCACACCTCTTGAATTCTGACATTCAGATATTGTAGTACTTACCACTGAAAGTTCATGTGTTACCACAGGCTTGAGTTTGATAACATCTGGAACCAGGCTTTTACCAGTCAAGCCCAACTTTCCTGATTTACCAGACTCTTCTTCCTTCGGTTTGCGATTCAAGATGTTCTTTGTGATCTCAGTCTTCTGTTGGTCTTTTCCAACTAAGGAAAGAAAAATAAATACTATTGTTCTTTCCTCTGCATTCTTTACAATTTTTACAAGACGAATTGCAATCTTCATTTAGTTGATAATTCAAATCTCTGACATAAAGGGGGATGATTTAATTGGTTTAAATATGATTGCTTAGATTTTTAATGTAAAAAATAAACTTTACGCTAGTAGCTCAGTAGTCGTAGGTATTAGGTTAACATAAGTTAAATAATTTATATGATATTAATGGAAAAGTGAGCGAGTACTTCACTACACCTGTTGAAGGGATGCTCGCCCATGCAGCCGCAGCCAGAAAATCACTGTCCTAGTGCGAAAACATTTACATAAAACTAAAATGGTTAAATTGTAGAAGCTTCCAGATACCATAGCCCCCTGGAACCCCCCTCCCACTCACAATAGGTGAGAGGACACCCGAAAACCACCCACTTTCGACCATAGGTTTCAGACCATAGGTCCCCATTGCCACTTGCGCCAAAGTAGCAAACCATTCTGGATCTGTCAAGAATTATTTACCTGCTGGTGGTAGGTTTTCTGGTATTGCTGGAGAGTGTGGGGGGGGGGAGGGGCACTGATTGTTTACCTGGTGGTGGGTTTTCTGGTATTGCTGGAGGGGAGAAAGGGGCATTAATTGTTTACCTAGTGGTGGGTTTTCTGGTACTGTTGGAGAGGGAGAAGTGGCAGGGCATTGATTGTTTACCTAGAGGTGGGTTTTCTGGTATTGCTGGAGGGTGGAGGGAAGGGCATTGATTATTTACCTGGTGGTGGGTTTTCTGGTATTGCTGGCTGCACTCCTTCAATACATAACCAATGAGCTGAAAGACAAAATAAAATTCAAAATTAAATGTAAAAAATAAAATAAAATTCATTGAAGAAATTCATTTGCATCCAATCTCAAATATTTTTAGACAGATTTTGTTCTTTCTTTTATTATTGTGGAAGTCGTTTTCAATATTATATTTTATTGACATAGTATTTAATTAATACATATTAATTGGATTATCAAAAAAGAACAGATTAATTCAAAATGAAAGTGTTTAAAAAAAATTTACTCAAAACAAAAAAAAAGTGTGGTATGATAAAAATATTGTCAAATAATGTTAATAAAAATTTAATTACTGTAAATATTTTATTTTTTAAAACTGTTAATATTTTTTTAATGTAAATTCACAATTCACCTTATATTTTGGATCAGTTCCATAGACAGTGCAATTACAAACAAATTTCAAAGCCCATGGGTACCGTACAGTACAATATATATATATAAAAAATATAAATTAATATAAAAATAAATATATTAAATTAGAAAATTCCAATTAGCCCAATGTATCATTTTCTGTCCCAAGAACCAATATTGGATTTTTTTAAGGATTTGAACTTATGATGCTGGCATCAGAAGGTGAGTGCCACTAGGCCACAGCTCCAATTCATGAATCACAACACTTACATTTAATACTGACACCCAGAGGAATCTTGGGTAATGGCGTGCTAATAATATCTTGAAGATCAATCTCCTTTTCCTCGATGAAATGCAAATCTCTACCACCCCCACTGGCAAAACGAAATGGAATGCTCTCTGGAGCTTGAAAGCCATAAAGAGGCTGAAAAGAAATATGATAATCAATGTTATTTCAGATATTAACAGCAACAACCATTATCTATGACAACAACCTCCTTCTCCAGCCTAGGCAACCTGGGGGTTGGGGGTAGACCCTTTGAGTATCCACTCCCATCATGCATGCACTCCCTTTGCTGTCATCTGTCTCAGCTTTTATTAATAGTGCCTGATTTTACATTGTTTTATAGTATTACCAAAAATAACAACAGTAATTGTCTATGACAACCTTCTTCTCCAGCCTAGCCCACCTGGGGGAAGGCCCTTTCAACATTCACTCCAATGCACACACACTCCCTCTGCTCTCATCTATCTCTGCAGTTATTTAATATCAGTATCACTTTTTAACATTGTTGTATAGTATTAATAACAACATGACAACCCCCTCCTCCAGATTAGCCCACCCATCTACTTCAATGCAAACACACTCTCTCTGGATGGCATCTACAGTACAGTGCAAAGGTTTTCAACAACATCACAAGCCCAGTTGGTGAAATATAATGTTGATGGGTTTGCCATTATGAATTTTGATAATCAACATAACTACTGTTTTGAAACTAAATTCCCCCATTAAAATTAAAATGTTAATGTTTCTGTTATGTAGAATTGTACAATTTTGCTTGTTGAGTTATATTTACTATAATTTATAGCGCCCTCCCCTCTAAATTAATTCTCTTTCGCCATTGGGTCATATGCATTGTGAGAATACAGTATGTTGGTTTAGAGGTGCTTGTACCTATTGACACATTCTCTCATTTTGATTTCAGTGTTAAGTCATTTAAAAATATAAAATAAAATAAAAATGATTAACTGAGTAGATCATGAATTACTTGCAAATTTTTTACAGTGCAATAACAAGTCACGCTGCGTAAAACAACATTCCCAATACTAGTAGTTACTCGATATAACAACAATAATATGAAATAACAATATTACAGTTAATAATTATAGCATATATCTTTTTACAATTATAATTTAATTGAAAAATAGTTTATATTCACCTCTACATTTTTTACCCGCAAAGCTGCATCAATATCAGAAGTTGACAACTTTTTGCGTTTACCATGTACCATAAATTTTGCTGCCTCCTAAAAAGTTAAGTCCAGTTGAAAAGGTTTATTCATTTTATTATAAAACCTACCTGAATATGAATTCACAAACATATTTAAAGAAATGCAAAAAATAATTCTGGCATCAGAAAAACAAAGTATAAGAACACCCTGTATAAGTAATTAGGATTTGCTCTCCGATTCAAGACCAACTTTGGAACCTAAAAATGTAAGATGGTCTTAGGCGGGTTTGTTCTCCTATATGGTAGCTATTAATTAAAGATCGCTATACAGTAGTAGTTGGTAGCGAAATAGAGGTTCTCAGAATTAGACGGATATTGAATTTGAGAACCGTAGCTGTTTACAAATGCACATGGAGAACATTAAATATAAAGTTAAATTAATGCATCAACAAATCTTCTTCCAGCACCTGGTAATGTAATGTGATATAAAAACGTAGCCTACAGTAGATCAAATACTGACCTGAATGACCTGCTTGAGTCTGAATGATACATCTTCAGCAAGAACCTTTGTTGCCTCTTCTGGTATTTGTGATATGCCAATTGATTCTGCAACGGTTTTGATGGATTCTGGTGTGAGATTAGTTCGAATTCTCTCCTTTCCTGACATGTTGCACCTCGGTCTAGGTAAGCAAAACGCACTCCTGTAGAGTGCTCCTATATAATAAAAAGATACAAACAAGGAGAGATAGGCCTAGGCCTAGTAGTAGCCTACTACTGACTGATCAGTGACTCACATCACAAATAACAATGGCTGGCAAGGGGTGGGAAACAGGGCAACAACAGGCAGGCATCTATATAGTTTTCAAAGTCTGTCTTATAGCCTAGGCCTAGTAGTAGCTCTCCTAGGCCTAGACTAATTTTACCAAGGCATGCCTAACTAGGCCTAGGCCTAAGCCTAAACTACTGTACCCAACTCTCTGACTGATCTGCCCAAGTCTCCGGTCCTACTAAATACCACACGGAACCACTCGCGACCACACGGGACCACTCGGGACCGCTCGCGACCACACGGGTGCAAAAATGATAAAAATATTACCACACGAGAGTAGAAAACTACTTAATAATCAATAGAAACCAACTTTTAGTACGGTAATTATCCAAAATATGGTAAAAATGATTATTTTTTTTACAGGTTTTTCCGCCGTGCTTCGGAAGGTAATGCGGTGACATTGAGGTTCTGTAACGCATTCACGGCTCCAGAAACGCGTTCACTCTTGACCTCTACAACATTCACTACGTACAGTATGGTACGTTACATTTCATCCTGCGTGTATGCCTATTCTATGTATAGGCCTATTATTCTACTATAACTGTATTTATTACTGTATCTGCTTTGTATTTTTTATACTTATGTGTTTTTGACTCTTATTATTTT